GGGGGTGGGGGGGTGGGTGGGGGATGGTAGTTTATTTTGGCTCATGGTTCAACAGATTGCATCGCCCATGGCAAGGAAGACATGCTGGTAGGAAAATGAGGGGGCTGGGCACATGGTGTTGGCAGCCAGGAAACAGATGAATGCTGGTGCCCAACTTGCTTTCTCCCTTTTTCTTTCCCTTTTACATTCACTCAAGACCTATGCCCATGGTATGCAGCCAACCATATTTGAGGCAGGTCTTTCCTACCCAGTTAAAGCACTCTGGAAACACCCCTGAGGGCATATTCAGAAGGATGTCTCCTAAGTGATTTTAAATGGGGACAAACTGATAGTCAAGATTAACTGTCACGGGGTCATTCGCCTTTTATTTTTTCTTTTTCTTTTCTTTTTTTAAGATTTATTCATGCCGGGCATGGGTGGCGCACGCCTTTAATCCCAGAACTCGGGAGGCAGACGAAGGCAGATCTCTGTGAGTTCAAGGCCAGACTGGTCTCCAGAGTTAGTGCCAGGATAGGCTCCAAAGCTGCACAAAGAAATACTGTATCACAAAAAAAAAAAAGAAGAAGAAGAAGAAGATTTATTTATTTATTATGTACACAGTATTCTGTCTGCATGTCTGCCTGCATGCCAGAAGAGGGCACCAGATCTTATAATGGATGGTTGTGATCCCCCAAGTTCATGTTGGGAATTGAACTCAGGACCTCTGGAAGAACAGCCAGTACTCTTGACTTCTGAGCCATCTCTCCAGACCTTGTTTTTTTTTTTTTTCTAAAGCACCACCTTAATTAATTAAATATTCACCTGTAAAGTTGGGGAATGTATTCATTTTGCTCAATGACTGTCCTGATGCCTACCTAGCACAACAAGTATTTAGTGTCTGCTGGCCTGCAGGTAGGTTAGGGCTTGAGAGTACAGATGAGTGGGCTGGAAGGAAAAGAACAGTGTCAGGCGCACTGATGTCATGTAAGCTAAAGTTTTTTAGTGAGACTACTCAGAGTAGAGGTGAGGATAAGCCCCGAAGAACTGCTACATTTAAGAGGCAAATTAAGAAAGGCGGTCTCAAAAGATGGAAAAGACTGCAGGAGAGAGGCAGGGGGAAGCAACCTGTAGAGAAAGGGCAAACACTGGTCAGCTATGAGACTGCTGTGGTTATTAGGGTGGGAAGCCTGATTGGCTCAGGAGATTGACACGCTGGGAGCCAGTCATCTGTAAGCAGAAAGAAACTAAAGAGAAAAGGCCAGCATGCGGCCCCCAGACTGCCTGTGCCTGGCCCTAAAAGCAACGCCCTAAGTGGCAATCTCTGGAGAAGGCTGAGGCCAGACTGCAGGTGTACACTGGCAGAACTGACCTCTGCCTCTCTCTCTACTTGACTCCAGCAGGAGGGATCAATACCAAAGCCATTTCTCTCCATCCAACTGCAGAGGAAAAGATTCACTTCCTAGATGCCACAGGAAGCCTCTCTTCCCTTGTCCTAGAACCAACCAAAAGAAAGTCCAAACTCTAGTCCCCGCCCTTTCCTTCCTGTGCATCTTCTCTCCCCAAATTGCTAGCTTCTCTATGGCTAATTCTGGTCGGCTAGTTGCTGGCTCAAAGCAAACTTTATTGATTCAAAGTAAACTTTATTGATAGTCTGCAGTGTCACAGTGAGATCAAAATATCCCACAACAATGGGTTTGTGGCAGCCATTATCATTCAAAACACTACAGATGACAGAGTGGTAATGCAGAGAGAGGGCCTGGAGTTCAGTTCCCAGCATCCACATGGTGCTTTTCACAATCATCTGTAATTCCAGTTCCAGGGAATCCAACACCTTCTGACCTCTATGAGGACCAGACAATCATGTTATGCACATATATGCAGGTACACATAAAGGAGGCCGGAGCAGTGGCCATCGCCTTTAATCCCAGCACCCGGGAGGCAGAGCCAGATGAATCTCTGTGAGTTCCAGTACAGCCAGAGCTACATAGTGAGATCAAACATAAATAAATAAATAATGAAAGGCTTGTTGCTTTGTTTTAAAAACAAGTTCAGGTGGTGTTGGCACCCGGGAAGCAGAGGCAACTGGATCTCTTTGAGTTCGAGACCAGCCTGGTCTACAAATCGAGTTCTAGAACAGCCAGGGCTGTTACACAGAGAAACCCTGTTTGGGCACTCTTGGGGGGTGGGAGGACCCACACACAAGCCTATACATTGAAACTGTCTCAAACCAAGGCTTGGGCAGGGGAAGGGGGGGCCTGTAAGGTGAGTAGGTGGGCAAAGGCACCTAGCACCGAGCCTAACAACCAGTGTTCATCCTCCAGAATTACACAGTGGAAGGAGGAAACAAACTCTGCAAGTTGTCCTATGACCTCCACACATAGACATGGCATCAGGTTCAAAAGAAACCCAGGACAAATGGTTAACTGTAGCGTCTATTAGTATATTGAAGTGTCTGCTGGCCTCCAGGTTCACTCAGAACCTGTGGCTCTTCTCAGCCCTTCTCACCCTGCCCCTACCCTAAACTGCAGCTCCTGGGCTTGCCTTCCTCAGCTTCTCATTCCTATATAACACCCCAGCCCCCCTCCTGAGCCCTCTCTCATGGCCCTCTCTTTGTCTTCCTCTCTCACTCTCCTCTCATGGCCCAGTCCATTCTGCTAGCCATGTTGAGTTCACTACTTTTTCTCCCTGCTCTGAATCCTCCAGACGCCTATGACTGTACTCTGCCACCAAGCTACAATGAAAACCTTCTCCTCAACCACACCTTGGAGTGGTCATGTCCTCATCTGATACACATGGCATTTGATCACCACATACACACACAAATAAATAAACTTATTTTCTTTTAAATGAGAGAAGCAGGGTGGTGGTGGTGCACACCTTTAATACCAGCACTTGGGAAGCAGAGGCAGGATCTCTGTGAGTTCAAGGGTAGCCTGGTCTACAGAGCGAGTTCCAGGACAGCCAGGGCTACACAAAGAAACCCTGTCTCAAAAAACAAGAAATGGGAGAGCAATTGTGAGAAAAATAGAGGAACAGACAGAGGAGAAAACAAATGAAGCACAACAGTACTGATGGTTCCTAGAGAACTCTGATCGCCTCTAGCGAACGGACCCAAGCGCAGAACAGGGACCGTAGGCAGAGTTCTGAGCTAGAGTACTTACCAAACAGGCACCAGGCCTTGGGAGATCTGGGCAGCTCAAAACTCCAAAAGACCAGAGCAAAGACCACTAAAATAATGTAATACTGTCAAGGTTGCCTGGAGCAAGCTGGAGAACACAGTAATAATTAAACCAGCAGGCCCATCCCATGCTTACAGACATTCATCTGACTCCAAGCCAACTGTGATGGCAGATACTACACCTCCAGAAGGAAATCCTAGGTGCCTTTTCCCACAGAAGAGCCCACAGTGTGGGAGATCAGTAGATTGAGGGGGGAAGGGGCAGGAGGCATGGGCTCCAAACTAACCACCTGCCATGTACGTCTTTTTTTTTTTTCGATTTTGTTTTTTTTTTTTTTTTTTTTGGTTTTTTGAGAGAGCGTTTCTCTGTGTAGCTTTGGAGCCTCTCCTGGCACTCGCTCTGGAGACCAGGCTGGCCTCGAACTCACAGAGATCCTCCTGCCTCTGCCTCCTGAGTGCTAGGATTAAAGGTCTATGCCATCACCACCCGGCTCATCACTTTAGTCAAGATTCAGTATTGACTTTTTCCTCCAAGGATCTGATGCAAGGATGCATGTAGCAGATGTTCTGATATATTATTTTTAAATTTTGGGGGCTGAGGGATGGCTCAGCAGCTACGAAGAGCACTTGATCTCACACAGGATGAGGATTCAGTTTCCAGCACCCACATAGTGGCTGACTCCAGCTTAGGGCTCCAAGCACTCACAGTGCAGTGCATTCACAAAGACATACACATAAAATATTGTTTTTTAAAAGGGGTTATAAGGGCTGGAGAGATGGCTCAGAGGTTAAGAGCACTGACTGCTCTTCCAGAGGACCTGAGTTCAATTCCCGGCAACGACAAGGTGGCTCACAACCATCTGTTATGAGATCTGGTGCCCTCTTCTGGTGTGCAGATATACATGGAGGCAGAGTGTTGCATACATAATGAATAAATAAATTTTTTAAAAAAGGGTTTATAAATGAAAACTAGTAGGGCATAGTGGTTCACACTTTAAACCCAGTACCCTGGAAGCAGGCAGATTTGTGAGTTTAAGGCCAGTGTGGTCTACAGTGAGATCCAGGCCAGCTAGAGTTACATAGTAAGACGCTGTCTCAAAACAACAACAACAAAATAACAAAAAAGCCCTGAAAACCCATTCAAGAAAAATCTATCTTTGTTTCAATATTAACCAGGTTGGTAGGAAGAGGGTGAAGCCTGAAACCCAGATTAAACTGTTAATAATATGTAGCACTTCCTTTGGGGCAGGCGGTGTTCTATGGACTTGACAGGTATACATCAGCGACTTCTGGAGGTACCATCTCTATCTAGACCATCAGCTGTTAGAAAAGTTCTCTGTTACTGGTATAAACTACTCTGCGGCGAGGAACGCAGTGTAGCTCAGTGGTAGAGCGCTTGTCTATCCTGCTCAAGCCCGAAGGTAGACAGCACTCCTCTCCCTGGGCCACAGTGTTTACAAGCAACACTGTAAAACTGTTTGCAAGTTAGTTCGTGTCCCAACTCTTATCACCTACAATAACTGACTTCTAGAGTTGAACGGAAATAAATTCTGTATATAAAGATTCCACTAGGAAGAATACAATTTCTACGAAGACAGATTGTACCAGTGTCGAGAACCTGACCTGGCACAGAGGCAAAGGGAACTTTCCAGAGGTCCTGTGCATGGGAAGTCGCGCTTGCAGTCCTACGTGGCTTAGCAAAACTCGGCGGATCCGGACGATCTAACACTCCCGCTGTCAGCAGACCTCGATGCTAGCGGACCGGTCCCCAATCTCCCTATCGCCCTCTCTCAAGCGATCTCCCCGAACCCAGCAGAAACCACCTATCCTGCATTCTAACGAAACCGTGGAGACCGTGGCGCTGCCCATAGCTCCGGTACCCCAAAGCCTGGCACCCGAAGACAACGGGGGTCAGAGGCGAGGAGCCCATTGGAGCCGTGGTGCGTCCCACCCGCCATGCGGCTCCTGCAGAAATCCAGCTCGCAGTGCCTGGCAGCCCCACCAGAGCAGAGGCAGGCTCCCTTCTGCGACGCGGAGACTGGAAATACCTGCACTTGAGTTCCCTTACCTGGTCCCAGAGGGATGCACCCTGAGACAGCCACCAGGTTAGCGGACTCGGAAGGTTGAACTGGAGTACCTCGGCTAGGCCGGGGACCTCCCCCTCACACTACGCCCCCTTTCCTGACCAATCACAGGCCACAGGCTCCCGCCGGCCACGTGGGCGGTCTCGTCCCTCCCGCTGGGTCGCATGCCAGTCCGCCCTGGCCTTCCGCCGCTCCCAAGACCGCCTGCGCAGTGGGCGAGCGCCTTGGCGCGCTTGCGCACTTTGGGTAAAGAGGAGTAGAACCCCGCCCCATCCCGCTGCTCTGCTTCTCCGCTGTGCGTGCCAGGGACGTCAGGGGCGGCGCCGCAGCAGTTACCCCTGGTAACGGGGGAGGCAGAAGGAGGAGGAGGCGGAGGAGGAGGAGGGACTCGGCTTGAGGATGGTGAGTGTGGGGGCCCCCGATCCCTCTGGAGCTGGCCAGTCACCCCCACCACACCCTCGCCTCCTGTCCCCAGGCCCAAGGCAGGGCGCTGCGCTTAGGGGACGTAGGATGGCGCTCGCCTTGCTCACTAGGGTTCTAGATCGGTTTCGGGGGCGAAGGGGTACCCCAGAGATGGGCCCTGGAGAGAGGCCTAGGCCTGGGAGGAAGGAGGGATTTGCGATGGGTCCGAGGCTTGGGGAAGGGACTTGCAGAATGCTTGGCTGGCGGGGAAGGAGCCTGGGCTCCATCTTCACTCCGGGCACTGGGATGGGATGAAGGCGGCTCCGGGGAGGTGAGGAGATCAGGCCAGACACACAGGCTTAGCTCTTGCTGCAGAGTCGACTTCTCGGCGCCTCGGGACCGTAGGATCCGTCTGAAACCCGGACAGAAGTGGGAGAGGCGCGATGCTACTGTCTTTGAGATCACCCTGGCGGCACCAGGGAGATGTAACCTAGTTTTCCTAGATGCTCGCCGTCTCTGAGTGAGGTGTGCTGGGACTAAGTCCCAGGACAAAAAGAGATGCCGCTGGGAATGGATGCCTGATTCACGTCTCCGTGGTGGGTGCGCTCCTGCTGAAAGTTCTGCAGGGTCTAATGGTTGTTGATGAGCGATTTTTCTTTCCGTATCTATTTCATGTTAATAGAAGCAAATTAGCCTCCCGTGTCTTAGCATTTCCTTCAAACTTGTTGCAGCGTCCTTTTGCATGTGGCCGCACAAAAGGTCTTCCTTCCAGTAAGGCACCTCAAACTAAAAAGAATGAGAAACTGTTAAGAGTGGGCGTCAGTTTGAAGCAAGCCTTCTCTCCGTTAGCCATAATTATAAGGCTTTTCCAAATTGCAAGTTACGGTATGTGACGGATTTAACCGGGGACACTCCGTTCCTTGTTGATTTTTTTAATTGTTATTTTATTTAATGTGTATGGGTGTTTAGCCCGCATAAATTTTTTGCACCACGTGTGTGCCAGGAAGAGGGCTTTGGTCTCCTGGAATCGGAGTTAGAGATGGCTGTGAGCCAGCATGTGGATGCTGGGAAGTGAACGCTTCCTCTGGAAGAGTGTCAGTATTGCTGAGCGACTATCCAGCTCTCCTTGTTGATTGGTATGCTGTAGATAGAGAGTAAAAAATAAAATTAAGGGGAAATGAAAACTTTTAGAGTTAGTCAAAGAAAACTTAAGGCACTTAGAGCAGGTTGGTTGGCTTACTGACTGCTATGAACCAGTTTCTTTTGCTTCCCCCTACCCCTCATTATTTTTGTGAAAATACTGAACTACTTCTGTTGTCTTAAGAAGAGAAGGCTAGGGTATAGTTCAGGTGGTAGAGGTTAGTTTAGCAGGCACAAAGCTCTGCATAAAACGTAATATGGTAGTGCCTGCCCAGCACTCCAGAGATGGAAGCAGGAGCTTCAGGGCTACATGGTAGCCAGGCAGGCAGGAGTAGGTACATGAGACCTGGTCACAAAAGAGTGCCTGCCCAGCACTCCAGAGATGGAAGCAGGAGCTTCAGGGCTACATAGTAGCCAGGCAGGCAGGAGTAGGTACATGAGACCTGGTCACAAAAAAAAAGAAGAAAATAGGTGTCCAGGAGGAAAACGACACTACACATCTACTTTTGGTCAGTTTTGTGTGTGTGTGTGTTTGTTTTTCAAGACAGGGTTTCTTTGTGTGGCCTTGGCTGACCTAGAACTAGCTCTGTAGACCAGGCTGGCCTCAAACTCATGGTCAAATTACTAAACAAGCAAATTTTGACCAAAAAAATAAATAAATTTACATTGTCAAATTGTTAAGTAGAATTATTTAATCTAAGGTTGTCAATCACATCTCACACTTGTTACATTTACAGTTATTGCTAACCTCAGGCTAAACAGATTTTAACAAGTGTTTTCTTTTTATTATTTGTACATGAGCTGTCCATTTACAGGCTAAGTTTATCTTAATAAATGAGTACAGATATAAATATTTACACAGAAAATAAATGGATTTGAGAAAGTGGCCATGGCTTCTCACACCTATAACCTCCCCACTTGGGAGGTAGAAGGAGGCGGGTCAGGAATGCAGAGCCAACCTTGGCCACATGAGACTCTGTCTCATAAGAAATAGATAAATTTAAAACTAATGAAAATAATTAGAACTGCGATTTGAAAGGCATACCGGGCTGGGTGTGGTGCCTCATGCTTATAATCCCAGGACTCTAGATGCTAAATTAAGAGGATCACCATGAGTTAAGAGGCCATCCTGGGCTACAGTTAGTTCCAGGTCAGCCTCAGCTACAGGGAGACCCTGTTCCAAATACCATTCCCTTAAAAGAAAGCCACATGCCAGACCAAGAGAAAATGAGATTTCTTATAGATGAGAAACATCAGAGTTGTCTATCTTTCTTCAGTTTATCAATTGAGTGGACTGTTTCATTTCACAATTGCTTAACTTATAATTATAGGTCATAATAAGTAAACCACTGCACATGTTTCTAGGTGCAAATTGGCACTGTACATAAGTATATAACAAATTGACCTTGTACATATAATATTATTGGATACCACTAAAGTATTCAATGCTCAAGAATAAATCTAAAAAAAAAAAAAAATTGACATGTCTTAGTGTTTTGCCTGAGAGCATGTATGTGCACTCTGGGAAAGCCTGGTTCTCAAGGAGGTCAGAAGAGGGTGATGGATCCCCTGGAGCTACAGTCAGCTGTGAGCCACCGTGTGGCTGTTGAGAATTGAACCCCAGCCCTCTACAAGAGCACGTGCTTTCTTTATTTTCTGTTTTATTTTCTATGTGTGAATATTTTGCCCACATGTGTGTATGTGTACCACATGACTCTGTGATACCTTCATAAGTCAGAAGAAGGTTCCAGATCCTTCGGAACTGGAGTTATAGATGGTTGTGAGCTGCCCTATGGGTACTGGGAATGAACCCACGTCCTCTGCAGCAGTCCAGTGCTCTTAACTGCTGAGCCAGCTCTCTAGCCCCCAAACAGATTTTTTTTAAAGTAAACAATAAGAAACTAGGATTGTGGGATGTGGTGGTCCACATCTTTAGTCCCAGCACTTAAGAGACAGAAGCAGGTAGTTATCTGAACAAGAGGCCAACCTAGTTTCTCAATGGTGAGTTTCAGGCTAGCCAGGGCTGTATTGTAAGACCGCTCCATCTCAAAAAAAAAAAAAAAAAAAAAAAAGGGGGAAAGGGGAGGGGAGAGAGAGAGAGAGAGAGAGAGAGAGAGAGAGAGAGAGAGAGAGAGAGAGAGAGAGAGAGAGAGAGAGAGAGAGAGAGAGAGAGAGAAAGAGAAGAAACTAGGACAAATTAGTTGAGATTGTCTGATTTTAAAATCCTTTTTTTTTAGATTTTATTTATTTATTATGTATACAACATTCTGCTTCCATGTATATCTGCACATCAGAAGAGGGCACCAGATCTTATAACGGATGGATGGTTGTGAGCCACCAGGTGGTTGCTGGGAATTGCACTCAGGACCTCTGGAAGAGCAGTCAGTGCTCTTAACCGCTGAGCCATCTCTCCAGCCCACAAATCCTTTTTTTTTTTTTTTTTTTTCCTTTTTTTCAGAAGTGTAAGTTATTCTTAGTACTGGAAGTAGAGCACTGAGTTTAAAGGGTCAGTGTCATGATTAAGTATGTCACATAGAGTAGCCCATGAGTCCTGTGGTTAACTATACAATTGAAAAGTGAGCTCTGCCAGACATAGTAGCACACCCCTTTAATCCCAGTACTTGGGAGGCAGATCGAAGCCAGCCTGGTCTACATAGCAGGTTCCAGGACAGCCAGGACTACATAGTGAAACCCTGTTTCAAAAAACAAACAAAAACAAAAACCTTATGTGATTTTTTTTTTCTTTCTAAATTTGAGTGACTGAAACAAAAAACATTCTGAGCTTCCCTGAACATTTAGGATCAGCTGTTTTACCCTGGCCTTGGAATCACATTCTCTCTCTCTCTCTCTCTCTCTCTCTCTCTCTCTCTCTCTCTCTCTCTCTCTCTCTCGCTCTCTCTTTAAGATTTATTATGTATATCTGTGTTTTATTCATATATATTTATACAAATATAAAATACATACATGCTTATTTTATATGTGTATGAATGTTTTGCCTGCTAGAAGGCGGCATTTGATTCCCTGGAAGTGGAGTTATGAATGGTTCTTAGTCACCATCTGTCTGCTGGGAATGGAACCCAGGTCCTCTACAAGAAAGCAACAGGGGCTGGAGAGATTCCTGACAACCACAGGATGGCTCACAGCCATCTGTAATGAGGTCTAGTGCCCTCTTCTGGTATACATGCAGGCAGAACATAATAAGAAAGAGCAGCAAGTGCTCTAAACTGCAGAGCCATCTCCCCAGTCCTTCACTGGGGGATTCTAGGCAAGTGCTCTACCATTCTTGGTAATTTAGCACATACTAATCACTGTTATTTGACACGAACTCAATCCAGCAATTATTTATGGTCTACTTCCTACTTACATGTAATTATCATACATGTACTTATCATACATGCATGACTTTTGATGAGTATTAATCATATTTATGTTTTTTGGGGGGCCAGAAAATAGTTAAGTGAAAAAATATAGTTTTTAAAAAAGGAGCACTAAAGATGGTTCAGCAGTTAAGTAGTGCACCTGCATACATGCAGGCAAAACATTCATACACATAAAATTCAAAAATAATAGCTGGGCACCGCTAATAATAGGTGGCCCG